ATTTATATGTTTATATGTATAAAAATGTGATGCTGGAAAATTTGGTGATCAAAAGTATCTTTCTTTGGTGATCATTTGTATCTAAAGGCGTTTGGTGATCAAAAGTATCTTTTTTTGGTGATCAAAACAATTGACACCCTTTTGCAAAGTAAAGTTCCGGACAGAAAAATAAAGAATACCAGAAAAAATGTACAATGGATTCTGTACATGAAAATTTGTAAAAGAGCAAAAAAAGTTCCGGTTAAAAATGATAACCAAAGCAAGATTACTGTATAACATCAATTATTTTCGTTTTCCAGGCAAGAGTTATGGGATCTGAGCCCAGATGCCCAGTGATTAAGTGACAGTATCAAAGGAAACGGTATAGACTGCTCAACGTCTCCTGTTTTGTTCTCCAAATGGGGAATATTGTTTGATTACTCATAGTCATACTCTGCTCTCCCAGGCTTATGAGTGAAGTTTGTTTGACCGGGATCTGTTTTGCATAGCAGATAGGTAAAATAATACTTCGATTACACATTACTTTCATCTCGTTTATCTCCGATATTAACGACGTTTTGTTTCAGTGTTGATCTCGGAGTAGGCGTTGGTACCAAAGGTAAGGGTTTGGATTTCAATGGTAGAAAGAATTTTGATGTTAATGTATTTGGTTTAGTTGTTAAAGACACGAGTGTCTTTTCGGCATGAGGTGGACCTTGTTGCCACCCGTCTTTCATTAACGGAGAAGATAAATGTTCTTGTTCAAGATAAGACGGTGGTTTATGATCTTGATCTGACGTCGGAGATTCTTGTTTTTTCTTTAAAATTGTTTTTTTAATGGTAACATTCTTTGATGGTTGTGGTGCAGATTGTTGTTCGGAGTCTTTATCCGACGATAGTGATGAGACAGTTGAAGATGACTTTTTTGTTAAACTGTCGGTTGCTGTCTCATTAGCATTATTTTGATGCAGAGTACTTGTGACAAATAAATTACTAAAGCTAAGTATAGGAGGTGGCTTTTTCTTTTCTTGATGGTGTGGTTGTTTATTATCTTCAAACGATTTCTCAGATGACGAACGTTCAACGCCTTAAACATAGAGAAAACATCAGTTAGCAATAATGTCCTCCTTCGTACGTGTAAGATACAGCCTTCTCTCTAAAAAAAAGAGCTGTGTACGAAACCTAAAAGGGTATAGAGAAGTACAACCATTTCTAAACCCTTTTAGGTATCGTAGACGAAAAGGTACGATACGAAACCGTTTTAAGTGCATTGAAACGATTGATCAGTGCAATTTGCTTATTTCGTTATATGTTTTCCTTATGATTTTCTCGCGAAAAATCAAAAATTACAGAAGTTTCAGGTGTTTTTTTGGCTCAGTTTTCGCCGGTCTATACTATGAAAGCTCGCCTAAGCTGGTGAAATAGTCCACTTGATCAGAAAAAAACACTAATAGAACTTATGCACTTAAACGGCTTCGTACCGTACCTTTTCTTCTACGAAACCTAAAAGGGTTTAGAAATGGTTTGCACTTCTCTATCGTCTTTTAGGTTTCGTACATAAACCTTCTTTTTTTTCAGCGTGTACGTACAGTAAACGCATGTAATTCAACTTACCGGAATCATTATCCTCCTCCTCGTAATTATTATTACTAGTTGGGATTTTATTTCGGTGAGTTCGTCGACTTTTTATTGCAGAAATTTTTTTTGAATTGATTGATGGTGTCATTTTTTGATTGTAATTTGGCATGGCTCTTGTTAAACTTTCTTTTCTTATATTTCTATTTGAATGTTTTTGTTGTTCGTAATATATCCGTTTTGCTTTTAGATCAGCATCGCTGTCATCTGTCTCGGTTTTTTCCGTTTTCTCTGATATTGAACTGAGTTTTCTTGGATTTGATGAAGATGATTGTTGTTGTTCATAGACGTTCACAGCAGCAGCTGTTAATTGTTCGCTTGGATAACGTTTTGGTATTGTTATTACTGACGTTTCATAGCGCTTTCCACTACTATCCAAGACGTATGGTGATTGTTGTTTTTGATGTTGTGTTTTTTTACTATAATTGTTTTCATTCATTTCGTCATTATAAACCTCTTCAATATTTCTTGATAAAAATGTTTTGGGTAAATTTTCTATCGATGAATCATAACTCGATGACTGACAACCGTTCATACTTTTGTTTCCAAATACTTTCTGGTGATGTTTTCTGTAATATTTCCGTATACACAAATAAGTGTAATAGTAGATAACGATAAATAATTTCAATATACTGATAAATAAGAGAAAATAGGCCATAAGATCCATGTGTATATTTAAAAAATCTATAGTTCGTATTAGACAGCCCGTTGTATAGAGACGAATTGAGCTACCACAACTAGCTGGTGCTTGATTTTGAAACGATAAACGTCCATCAGAACCACAACATTTAAATGCTTGATGAAGAACGTCTAACGCATGGTTTACTCGCTCGTCATTTTCCTGTCGATAGTGGATCACTAAAATAATACAATAGTACAATGTAGGACAGATTTAATAATTAGAAAACATATTCATTGTAAAATAAAGATCTATGATGAGTACTAAGAGTGTGTATATACCTAATTTAGGCAGTTGTTCTTGTAGTAGTAATCGTACATCGAATTTACTTGTAAATGTTACTATGGCTAACGTAAATTCGACTGCAATTACAAAGGCCAGCATTGTCGATGCAATAAATAAAAAAACGCTAGCTGAACAAAGACCCCAAATTAATATAAGACACATGAATAATGTTATCGTTCCACCACCAAATAGGCCCATTGATAAATATCGTAATAACCATATATCAATATAACCAACATCAGATAATGTATAAGCTAATGTTTTATAACGATTTTCTAATACGGTCCAAAGAGCTAAACTTAATTCCGTTAATCCGAGTATACATAGAAAAATAACAGTTAATTTATTCAAAAATAATATCATGCGTTTATTCATAGTTTGATTATAATATAATAACTAATAGAACATCGTTGGGAACATAGGTGACATGTTTATAGCAAGAAGCTAAAACGAAAGTAAGTTTCAAAGATTTTTTCAATTGTCAATGCAATATGAAATGAAAATGTAATGAACTTTTTTAGATAGTAAGTCATTGTTTCAAAGAAAGAAGTGATACCCTTTTCTTTATAAATTAATGTATCAATGTGCTCTGCAGAACAGCAGAGACGCAAGTTTATACCATTTTCCTAGTAAACTTTATTCGTAATACAACAGACTGTCTTCTACTTTGATTTGAATAAGAGTTAGCGAGAAACTTTATTTTAGAATTGGCTTTCAAATTTAATCGAATTTAGTTATTTAGTTACAAGAAAATCAATTTAAAAAATCACAAATATACCGTTGTTAAATCATATTGAATTATGTGTTCATGAAATAAATGAAAATTCATTCGTTTGCTCTCTTATGTTGTTTATTTTGGTAGAATATTTGATTTACTGATCACATTTCAACAGGTTTCCGATGATGTCAAGCAGACCGAAGACAAATTATAGTGTTCACTTTTTTACTCATTTCTGCCTCAAGTTTATCAAGAAAAAAGGAAGGAGAGTATGAGGCTTAAATTAGAAAAAACTATGCCAGTGAACGATGTTGAATTTTTACCACAGTTACTTCCTAAGTTTCTCCAGAGGTTGAATATTTTTTTGAGAAAAAAGTGTTTCTGGACTGAGCTACAAGATTTTTAAAATCAAAACCTAAGGTTTTAAAAGTGTTTTTGACTATTTTTTTCTGTAACTTTTGAACGAATCAACATTTTTCAAAAAACAAATTTGAAGCAACTTTCTCCCGCGAGAAAATGCGTTTCAAAAGTTTTTTCTTCTACCGTATAGTCAATTTTTTGGGATCCTGCTTAACGCCTATAACTATTATGAAATACTTGAAAATATTAACTTTTTATCCCCTACGGGTCACTGGAATGACCATTTGTAGAAACGTTTCAGAAAATAAACGAAGCATCAAATCCAAAATCTTTCAGGACGTTATTCATAGCAAACTCCAAAAGCTATCGGTTGATTAAAAAAATATCGTTGCATCTCCGAGATATATGGCATCCAAAATCAATACGTTTGAAAAAAGCAAAAAAAATTGAATTTTGTTTTTAGGATCCTTTTTCTGCATACATGGAGGATATGTTTTCGTGATGTGCATTATAATAAATATCGACTAAAGTGTCTTCTAGTCAATAAAATGACTCAAAAATTTCACAAGAAATAGGTAGGAAGGAGATCGTAAAAAATAGCATGGTCACTGGAGTGACCAAAGTACTATGCACAGAGGCGAATGCATCTGCCCAATCCGATCATACCATTAGCATATTGAGTAGACCAGTACTCTGTTCTAATAGTTGTTTTATTAGTAGTTCTTCTAGAAATGGTTGACAAAGGGTTAACTTCCTATGAGACATACGACATAACTTCTTGGTACAGACAGCGTTTAGTCAAAGAACTATAATGACGCTCACTGAATTTGCTTTCGGTGAGCGCTACGATTGTTACTAGCTCAAGAATCAGATGGGATGATAACGTAGTTCGTGAATGATTCATTCTAAGGAAAAAGTCTTCCCGAAAAGTCAACTCAAATCATACTGAGAGCAACTATGTATTTTTCATTCGTGTTGATTTCCTAAACCCTTTGGCTTTAGAGTAGTGATAAAAACTACTTTGAAACTATCTGAAGTTTTTTATAAAAAAAATTTCTTCTAATCACTTAAGGATTTAGTGTCAATCATAAACCCTTATAAGTTTTCTTAAACCATTACTAAATCCAAAAAGGATCTAGCAACAAGCAGACAGAATCGTTTCTGTTTTTTAAAATACACGTTTTCTAGAGAGTCACGAAAAGGGCTTTTAAAAATACAGAAGGAGTTCAGTAGAATATGTGAAAGTCTACTCCAAAAAATTGATAACATTCCATAAAATGTATGGACATCACACATCACAATGCTTTGTTCTACCTCTTCGATCTTTACTGTTCTCAAAAGCCTTTTTATGAATCAAAAACTTATTCACTGTATTTTGTGTTTAAACAGAAGAAGCTAACATATTCCTACTCCTGAAGCAACAACGATTATTGAACAAAGTTAATTTACCATTGTATCATCAGCTCAGTTTTAAACCTTTTAGAACACTTTAAAGAGTGTTTAGAAAACCTTTGTTCGTTCGGAGTAGTTTGAGAACACTTATTTTCGAAGTACGTTTAGTTTTACATTGTACTAAAAAGAATTAAGAACAAGAGATAAAATTACGATAGCAACTACTTTTCTATTGTAGAAAGGATAAAACTAGGATTCTGAATTCAGTACCCTTGTTTTAGCGTTGCTTTTGCCGTAAATCCTCCACAATGAGCCGACATCAAAAGAAATCAACGTTACCGTGATGGCAAAGCATGCTCTAACACAAAAGTAGAAAACGGACTTGTTCTGCAAATAATGCTCATAGAAGACTAAAACACCACCTGCGAACATTAAATGATCAATCGTCGAAGATGTGCTGAATATCAGAAGATAGAATGCAAAAAAAATGAAATACTGTTCCTTCAATACATTGAACGAGATATAAAAATTTAGTTGAAATTAGTCAACAAATCATAAGTCTATTTGTGACGAAGATGTTAAACTGGAGAATAGAAATGACGATGCTCCATGGTAATACATAAAACATGAATAATAATAACTGTGAATCATCTTCGAAACATTCAAACACATATTAAATAGTAAAATAATGGAAAGCAGTCTACGCTTCAGCGTATGATATAGCTGCATATTTTGATAAATATACATAATCAAAACTATTAGACGATTTCTATTGTGTAATACTAATATTCAAAATTTTGTAGTTAGGTATTTAATGAGCTATTCGTACCTGAGATACATGTGAATTTTACCTTTGTATCCATGTGTATTCAAGAACTGCTCTTCTATTCAAATCTAATATCTTTGTATATTCTATATGTCCTTCAGTCAGAAGATCGAGCGAATTAGCATGATGAATGCTACTCGTTATTATTAGTAATGTTAGTTCATAGCTATAATTTTATTTTCAATTTTAGAACACTTGATTTTGATCATTAATTGAATTGTCGAACTTTATCTTTAGATAGATATCAAACATTTTTTTCTCATTATTCGAATAGTCCTATTCATGCTCGAAATCAGCTTGCATTAGATACAGTCGGATATGATCAGATAAGTTTGTATTGTACGATCGTACACGAACCGGTATGATCTTGAATAATCGTACAAATTCATGTCTACAAAATGGTACGATCGACGTCCAAATCATGGTTCCTCAAAAATTACAGGGGCCGGACTATATGTTTCGTACAACAATCATACGCACGATATTGTACGATCTGATCTGATCCTTTGAGATCTTACGTACGAAATAGTAAGATTACATAAGATCGTGTCTGATTTTCTACGATCATATACGATTTTACGTACGAATGCTACATGATTTTGGCTATTTTTGCTGGTTTCTCTCGCTAGTTTGCTTTTACTTTTCTTGTGCGTTTTTGCCGCATATGAATCTTCCCAATTCGTTTCTTTTTCATGTCTGTTAATCATGTATGGAAGATATAAAACGTTTAGAAAAAGAGTCGCTGGGTTGGAAAAACGGTGAAAATATTTCAGTTCATTGGATAAATCACATCAAAAGAGGAAAAAGAATTTAAAAATAAAAATAACATAAACTTCTTAAAAAGAAAGATCACGAAACAGAGCATTACAAAAAAAAATGTGAATTGAGACGAAAAAATGTGCTTATTTCGTAAATAAAAATTATGGATAGCCGTTGAAAAGTAAGAGAAGCAATCCTTTCAAGAGCAAGTCTGAAAAAATGTGTCTTTTTCGGCACATTTTTTGGAGAATTCCCCAGCCGTGATTTCCTTTTTTATACGCGGCTATGCCGCACAGCTCTGATTCACTCCAACCCGAATTTCGAAAATATGCTTACGCAAAGCTTCAAGCACAAATTTTGTCATCAAACTAACTAAATTCCTATAAACATAGCACTCAAGTTAAAAACGCACTGACAGTAAAGGGTAAGGCTTCCTTCTGGCCCTAATCTTCTAAATTAGCGCTGCTTTCTTCTGAATTCTGAATGTCATACTAAACTGTGTTATCAAATAATCAGAATTCAGTTTAAAGAATGACCACAAACAAATGAATGAGTTGTGCATCGCACATAGGTATGCACCGGTATCGGTATGCATACCGAAATACCGATACCGAAAATACCGGCTTTTTTCACTTGGAATTTTTTGGATTTTTTCATTTGAAATGAGATGTTTTAGCGTCCTGGATATCCAGAATGAATCAAGGACGGAAAACAAGAGCTTTGTTTGCTTTCTAAAGCCAAAGTTTTTCTTTTTTTTCTATCTGCACATGCTAAAAATACACAGCTGAGTGTTGTTTATACGTTCTGCTTGTTCAGGATGCTAAAATACCTCATTTCAAATGAAAAAATCTAAAAAATTCCAAGTCAAAAAAAGTCGGTATTTTCGATATTCGGTATACCGATACCGGTGCATACCTAATCGCACAACATCGCGAGGATAGTAGATAATGTTTTTAAACAGCTAGTGTGCTCAGTGCTATGAAATTAAAGTGAATTTTCTGCAGCAATATACTTCTAACACTAAACGAGTCATTTGAATTCGAAATTGAGCTCTTCTTAATATTTCAAGTATACATCGCAGCAAAAGCAAAACAAATAATCTTAAGAGTACGATTTCGACTCAAATCATATAAAATTGTACGATACAAACACATACACCTTTTGCCAAACGAGTTTGTACGAATCATACTGCACGATTTCATATGAAATACCTGACCGATATACAATCGGATCCGTACCAAAATCGTACTATAAGAATCATACGATCCTCCAGTACGAATCATATCATTTCTTACTTCTAGTATGATCTTGCACAATCGTGTACGATCTTAGTACGATTCTTTGAACTGGCTAGATTTAATATCAAATCTAGTGATTAGACATCAATTGTGGAATTTTTTTTTCAATTTGATGAATCCAGATTATTCAACTTTTTGACGGATGAAATTGAATTTATATAATCTTATGTCTGACTAAACGAAAAAATGTAAAGAACCTTTTGTATTATAAATTTATTCTATACTGGAAGTCTCGTCAAACTTTCTGATTGTTCAAGTTAATCAATTCTTATGGGTGTGTATTTACTGTAGTAAACAGAAAAGAAAATAAGTTTCTCTTCTTGATCAATACTTGAACATTTTTCATTTTCAGTTGCATCATCATCATCATCATCATACATATTGCATAATGATTCTATAGTGGTATTATTTTGTCTTCAGCTTACGTGGTAAAAAGTTAGTGAATCGGAGTGCTTTTATTACTGTTTTTGGCACAAGAGCAAAAGTGTACGGTGTGACATTTGATGGGTCAAGTATCTACTAATTAAAATTCTAAGCGCTTTATAATAGATTGCACAGATTAATAAACTAGAAAAATAATGGATATTAAAGTTCATTTCTTATTTTCAAATGATTTTAAAAAGAAAATACATTAAAATTTATAATAAGATAAAAATATGTATTATCCTGTTCTGTTGAAATACACTCTACTTAATTAAAATATAAATTTAAATATGAAAATAGAGACTAATGTTTGATGGGCATTTTCAGTTGTTCTCGACGGTGAATAGCTTAACAATTTCAGAAAAACTGATTAATTAAAAAAAATTCATTAAAAAGAAAAAATTACCGTTTTTTTCTTCATTATATAAAATGTTTTTATTATATTCTTAGCATTTCTTTAATGGAGAAGCATAGTTCTGTCAATAATAAAGCGAATCTCAACAAATAAGAAAATGACTATGACATACATAACAAAGATCAAAGTTACTGATATCTGGGACTGTTACTATAGTTTCTTGATAGGGCTATATAGCTGTAGTTCCTTCGAAGTTCTCGTTTATTAAACCGAAACTGTTTTTCAGTTTCCGTTCCTGAACTAAAAACGCTCCACGTTCACGTTTACAGAAACGACTCACCAATTCTAATTCCTTCGAACGGAAATTACAGTTGTTTTTGAATGAGGAGCTGTTGATGTTTTTCCTCTTATTGGTCTGTTAGTTTGCCTGTTTTTTCAAAATGTTCTCTATATGAATAAATAATTAACTAGCAGGGCACTAAAAATATCAACAGTTCCTCATTCAAAAACAACTGTAGTTTTCGTTTGAAGGAACGGATGAGCCGTTTCTATGAATCTGAATTGTTGAATCATTTTTAGTTCAGGAACGGAAACTGAAAAACAGTTTCTGTTCAATAAACGAGAACTAGTTCTCGTTCAAAGAACGAAAACCGCGAACTGTGACTACATCTACTGATATCTGAAATATGGTTTCTTGTCTCCGTGTTCTATC